GCAAAAAAAATTTAATTTCCTAGTAAATAAATTACCAACAGTACGTGCCAAAATTACTATGTAGATATAGCAATTTTTTAAATGTTGTTTAGAAAACAACTTGTTGCGTAATGTTGGACCATTTATAAGGGCGGTCAAATTTATTATTGTAACTACTTTGCAATTAGTTCACGCAGTAAGTTATACATTAGTGTATTTCATTTGGTAAGAATTTATTATAATTATATTGGGTTGTCAATAATTGGGTTGTTATTGTGATAAAGTAAAAAACTAATTATAAAATATTATTACTGTTTTGTAACTCATTACTCCTAATTATTTTTAGATGTTTACTAGAATTTCTGTCTTTGCAACTACTAAAATATTAAATTCCTTATCCACATTAAGAAATATCCAAAGCTATTCTGCTGTGATGTCTAAATTTGATCTTCCAGATCGCTTAAAAGGCAATGAAAAGTCAGTATGGTAAGTAGCAGCCACTGAAATGAGGAAACTTTGAATACATATTGTTTTCAATACATATTTTTCAGTGGCTAATTTGATTTCAGGGTAGAATATATTCAATTGGCTTTAAAGTACAAACCATTAAATTTAGGACAAGGATTTCCAGATTTTCATGCTCCTGAAAATGTAACAGAAGCTTTAGCTTCTGTAACTACAAGTGATAATCCTCTTTTGAACCAATATACCAGAGGATTTGTGAGTATTTTATACTTAACAAAGTATAAAGTATATTTTTAAACCTCCATTTATTTAGTTTATTAGGTATATCTTGAAAATTTGTAATACTTTATGGTATTTTAGGGTCATCCACGTTTGGTAAATGTTATTGCAAAATTATACTCTAAACTTTTAAATCGTAATTTGGATGCAAATAATGAAGTTCTTGTAACTGTTGGAGCTTATGAAGCATTATATACTGCCTTCCAAGGTCATACTAATCCTGGAGATGAATGGATAATTATTGAACCTTTTTTTGATTGCTATGTACCTATGGTTAAATGTGTTGGTGGAGTACCAAGATTTATTGCTTTAAAACCAGTAAGTTTAAAGCATAGAAGTGGTTTTCATTGATATAAGTTAAAACTTTCTATATTTATGCTATATACTTCACATTTTTAAGAGAACTACAAAAGGACCTCTCAGTTCTGCAGATTGGGTGTTTGACAGACAAGAATTAGAGAGTCTGTTCAATAAAAAGACTAAAGGAATAATTATTAACACTCCACATAATCCTGTAGGAAAGGTTTTTACTTTAGATGAATTACAATTTATTGCTAATTTAGCTAAGAAATGGAACACTCTTGTTATATCAGATGAAGTTTATGAATGGCTTGTTTATGAACCATATAAACATGTTAGAATTGGTAAAAATGCATAATTATAATGTCAGTATCATTTTCATTAAACATTTTATTTAAATTGTAAATATATTTCAGCAACATTACCTGACATGTATGAACGCACAATTACCATTGGATCCGCTGGTAAAACGTTCAGTGTCACTGGGTGGAAGCTAGGGTGGGCCTATGGCCCAGAAAATTTATTATATAACTTAAAAGTTGTTCATCAAAATGCTGTAATTTGTTATTATTTTTTAAATGTCTATTTTATAACTTTTCTAGGAAGCTGTAGCTATTGGATTTGAGCAAGAATTAGAAAGATTTGGTCAACCTGACTGTTATTTTGTTAGTTTAGCGAAAGAATTATTGCCGAAACGAGATTATATGGCTAAATTTCTTAGCGATGTAGGAATGTCTCCAACAGTCCCTGAAGGCGGATACTTTATGGTGGCTAATTGGACGGCTTTACAAGACAAGGTTAGATTAGATGAAGAAACTGATGAGAACAGAGACTACCGTTTTACAAAATGGATGACAAAAAACGTCGGAGTACAAGGAATTCCACCATCTGCATTTTATAGTTCTGAACATAAACATTTAGGTGAAGATAATGTTCGATATTGCTTCATAAAGGTAAGAATTAATTTAAAACCGAAAATATTGATGATATTTCTTTCGTTTGATTATAATCGATCCTCCTTCATTTTAGAAAGATGAAAACTTAAAGAAAGCAGCTGAAATTTTAATGAAATGGAAATCTCAACAGTAATAGGAAGAATAATTTTTGTGTATCACTTTCGCAACAAAAAATCTACTATTTCAACTAGGAATGATTGCTTTGCATAAGCACTGTGCCTTTGAGATTTCATTCATTAAATCTCAAACACAGTATGTATTTTTCCACGCCTATATTCCGTATCGTCTGTACAAAAACATCACAATTTTTACTGTATTAATGAACCTTTTTTACATGTAGCACTATTGTGCTGTATCCTATATTTTATATAGGAGAATCACCACGAAGCCACCTTTTTGCATCTTTAGTATCAGCTCCGAAAGTTCTGCCGAATCTAAATGTAACATTTATTTTTTGAATAAAAGTTTTTTTGAAATATACAACAAATCAATAATATGTACGGTTACCTAAATGTTTCTCCAGGAACATGTCCGAGATAATTTGGAAGCATTCCAACATGTTTATGATAGATGGAGGTGGGTTGGATCATAAGCGGTGGATCAGGTCGCGAAATTGTTACCGGTGCCCATTCTGTGCTCTGTCGTTTTCGATAATCAGATGTAAAGTCGCACAGAGCACTGTTGGTAGCAGGAACATTTGATTTTCCAAAATGCGCATATCCATACGGTATATGACCCGCATACCCTTCATACATGATATTGAATATTTATAATTTGATATCATGAAGAAAAAGCTAATATTTATAGTTTGACCATTTACACTCACTTCTTTGAGTTTCTCGAATTAAAGAATATCGCATACGTTGTTCACTGTCTGTAAGATCCATCTGTATGGCTAGTTATTATCAACAAATTTTTATAAACTATCATGTGGTGTAATTGTTATGTACATGTTCGGCAATTAATCTTGCAAATTGATCGAAAGTGTGGAAGTCATTGAAGGTTACATACATATTTTGTAAAACAGTTGAATCTTACATGACATCGCTTACGTAAGATTTAAGCAACGCGATTACCCGAAGCCAAGTTCAAGCTAATAATGACTTGACAAGTTTGACTCACGACTGATAAAGTATTTCTGCGGATTTGCATTGTCCATGAAGTAAGGAGATGGGGCGTGATCTCTGGGTTTTTCGTGTTGTTCGTCCAAAGATAAATTTCTCATTACACCCACGCAATCAGGTCGTACTGCTAACATAGGCAGTTTAAATTCACTCTTCATGAGCTGTATAAATATTTTAGAAATACGCTCGTTAGTCGTCGTTTCTTCAATTTATTATTTCACTACGAATCATATAGTTGCGTAAATATTTTACCAAACGTTCTTCTATATTTCGCGGTTCACCATGTCCACTTTGTATAGCTATCGTTTTTTTAATTTCATTAAGAGCAGCTTCATTTTTTAATTGTGCCTGTTCAAATTCTGCAAGACCTTCTGTAGCGAGCACTGTGTACCTTTGCCCATTTCTGGCTTTCATTTTTGGCGTAAACCCTAAAAATAAACAATTTATATTTTCATTACAATGCCCTAAATTTTTTCCAACTTTTTTTTTCTTTATTTGTGAACCTTCATATCCTGGCATAATAGGATGAATGAATACAGGATCGGTCTTTTTGTATCGAGCGTTTACTATATCTATGTCATTTTTCGGTGGCCTCTGGACCTAAAATTACAAGTACACATAATCAATTTCAATTGGTAAAACACATACGATAAATTAAATGGTACGAAGACGATAGTTGAAAAATTTTGTAACACCTCGTAATCGTCGGTGACTCGGTTTGATAAAATGAGGGTCTCCGCATGATTTATTGTAGGATCAAGAAGTAATTTGTGCGTGAGACTTCCATACGTTTCACCACATCTGTAGCGATATTGCGGACAATATCCGGCGTATCTAAAACAGACCATTTATTTCCCTTTTTTATCATACGTACATATAGGGGAGAACGATAAGAGTGCGCGTGAAAGTTAAGAAAGAATAATATTTCAAATACTTGCTTTTGCAATATCTTTCAGGCGATATTTGATATATTGCATTTTAAAAAATAACATTTATATTTAATGAACTAATTACCCTGGAATAAGGTGTGGGTCTGCCGTACTTAATAATTCCGCTCCAGTAGACATTTTGCAGGTGTATATTTTTTATCAGTATCTCAATTTAATTAAGTACATTATCCAAATTAACTAGAATTTAATATTTCCATGTACGGAAATTTTTTCTGTTAAACATTAATTTACACGCATGGCTGCCGAATGATTAACCTCTACATTTCTATGAATGTAACGAGTGAAATTTGCTTTGGAACATGTTTGCTATTCTTCAAAGCTTCGTCAAAACAAACGATGATCTTCTATTGAAAGATTCTTATTAAAATAAATCTTTTAACAAAGTTTTTTTTTTCAAGTTTTTTTCTTTATTCAAGCAATTTACATTTTAATATTAAAAGTATTCTCAATATTGAATATCTAATATCTTCTTTAACATAATGTTATACATTTTTCTTTCTCTTTTTTTAGTAAATTGTAAAACTTACTAGACGCAACTTTATATTGCGCAAAATTTCAATGCGATTTAACCCTAGTGTTTACGGTCTTCGGGTCTGTTTTGACCCAAACACAGCCGAACGAAAGAACGCATTGAGGTTAAGGGTATAAAAAAACATCGTCTTAGCATTCTAGAATGATATTTTAATTAGCACCCGTTTTGGGTTCGAAAATGCTCGCAAGAAAGAAACGGGGAAGCCCGGTGAATCACTGCTTTCCCATTCGTTGCACTTGCAGTCAACATTGATTGGTAGGCAAGCAAGGCGCGCACTTGATTTCACCGTGATTTTTCAAGAAATTAAGGGAGTCTCTAATTGACCGTCGAGAGACTTGTGTCATCGTAGAGACAAGAGGAAAGGAGCGAATTTTAGTAGCTATGGTAGGGGAAAGGATACGTTGCGTACACAGAAACGAGCGAGGTGTGCGATTAACGTTTCGCTTTCCAGTTTTCACGGGGCTACCGCGGCGAAGAGAGGTTACAATTGTCCCCTTTTTCAAAGCACCGTTTTGTTTTGAAGTAACTGTTTATCACAGGAAAAATAAAAACTTTCTTCTGTAGTGAGGCAATGACGTCGCAAACTATACGTGAATGCACCATTGAAAACCTCGATATACACTGGTACATTTGTATGGAAATTTATAAATAATTCGTTGATATTTGTCTGTTTATAACAATGGTTAGTAGAGAGTTTTAATTTTCTGTGATTCTAAGTGATCGACGATGGTGGAAATCATGACATTTGATGGATTTTATTTAGTAACGTGTATTGACAATGATACCTGAGATCTAATTGGAAGTAGTAAAAATGAATTTGATTGTTTCTTATGAAAGACTGTGTCGCTGAATTGTGCGAAAGAAATATGTGGTATCACCGAGAAATGAATTCTGTGTTTTACGTGGATGTCCATACTAAGGCTGGAAATTTGACTAAAAATGAGGGGGTAAGTCAACGATTTATTTTGTGCGAAATTACTTCGAATTTAAGTGAAATCAATCAACCATTTATACTACAATTTAAGTGAAATCGAATCTTATTATATTCATTTTCAAAAATTACTAATAAAAATTTTACGTTCATTTCGTTTTCATTCTCGATAACATTTTCACGTTTGCACTACGCAAAATGCTAAAAAATATACGAAAAGTTACAGATTAAGATATTAACGACAAAATTAGATAAAAATAAAACTAATATTCTATTCATGATAATTCCTCTTTATTAATGCATTTTTATTTCCTAGCTATTATTTTATCGTGAAATAATAGGGTTCCAAGTTAATTCACATATGTTTTCATTCAATCTCGAATATATCTAAGAATGATGGGAAATATGTTAATGAAGGAATTTCATTCGCAACGTCTAACTTCGCAGTAACATAAGCTAGTGAAAAAAAAAGTGAAACTTATAAGCAGTACTAGTTAACGGTATGCTACGTTTATAACGTTCATCCAAGTTGTTCGACAGTGAAATGGAGGGGCAGCTTAGAAACCGTAAAATTGCCCGCATTGTATGTATATAACTTAAATAACGTTTAACATCATAGTTGTTTTTACTTTTATCATAGGTTACCTTATTGTACGTTTTCCCTTTCCTCCTTGTCCCACATTTTAACGTTGCTTAATTTTGCGTAGTTGTCAAGTGAAATAAAAAAATTCTTTACATAAAAGTTGCTTTGTAACAAAGAAAAATATGGTACGATAATTTTTATTTCTATAATATCAGTGTTTTACTTGTAATCTTTACTTTGAAGTACATTAACCTTTAACTATATTAGCTGGATTACAACATAAATGAAAATTATTGTTATCTTAAAATTGATTACTATGTATATTCTCTAGTAGCATGCAGGTTTTGTTTAAGCAATGTTTCTCAAATGGTGATTACGTTACGATCTTATCTATTTACCTTTGATTAAAGAAGTAAAACAGAATTCCAATGATTGCTTCATATCCAAGCTCTAAAGTATGCGAGCATAATTCATAAAAAGAAATGTTAACTTTCTTATGGTATCTATACTAAGTATCTGTTTTTAAATTTTTATAAAAAGTGAATAGAAAATTTGTATAATT